AGTAAAACAACCATTTTAAAAATTTTTGTTCCAAAAATTTTAAAAAATTTTTTTTTTTTTTTTTTTTTTTTTTCATCTTAAATCCAAAATGTTTATATTTTTGTACGTTTTGACTTAATTGCTACTCTGATTATGTTCTTCCAGCAAATGGTCTGTTTTGACTCTGCATACTAATAACTTATTGATTACTAAATTAGTTGACAGTTATTTCAATAATCGATTCATAACGATTAATCTGGTTAATTGTTTCAGCCCTGATTGTTATTATAAATTAATAAAATACTATTAATTATACTTCTACTGCTACTAATAAAATATAATAGAAATATTAATATTATTAACACATTTTCTTTACTATTATTTTTAATATTTGTATCATTTTTAACAATAATTATAACAGTAACAAATAAATATATTTTAAAATTTTAAATTGTACATTAAGGTCCACTTTTTTGACACCAAAGAAAACTTTTTTTTTTCCAAGAAGTAATTAATAAAAAGTTATTGAACATAATCCTGAACACTTTATTTTATAAAAGTAGATTCCTTTATTACTTTTATCGGTTTCCATGGCGATTGCCATTCACAATATGGCTGCCTGCAGAGCAGAGGAGCCATTCCAGCACCAACTGTTTGCTCTTCTTTCTCTCTGATTGTGACGAGGTTGTTTCCTCACCTGGAACTTTCTGATGTTTATGTATTTTGGCACAAAATATTAACTTATGCATGCAAAAATATCCAATCTGTCAGGGTTTTTTATGTGTTTATAATGAATTCTGATTATAATACTTTGACTGTGAAAACGCCTTTATGTTTTCTGCACTAATATGTTTGAGGTGTTTAAAGCCACGTCTGTCCTGTTGTTTAGTAAAACCCAACCTGAACGCTTTGGATGTGTTTGTCTTTGTGTTCTCAGTGCGGTGGAAGCACAGGAGGAGCTGCAGGAGTTCCAGCAGATGAGTCGGGACTACGAGGTGGAGCTGGAGACGGAGCTGAAGCAGCTGGAGGCCAGGAACCGGGAACTTCTCTCAGCCAACAACCGTCTGCGCATGGAGCTGGAGAACTACAAGGTAGTCGGACATGGAGGGTTCAGCAACAGGCTGCCATGCAGACATGCATACGCCTGCAGGAGTTGCATTAATTTGCATGAAACCAACTGACCGCCGAGTGAATCGGTCCAAACTGGGGATTTTCATATCCGTCAGCTGATAATAGGTTTCCCTGCAGTGAATTTGTTTCTCTGGTTGCTTTATCCGAGCGCAGAGCGGCCTTCACAGAGCATCGATTCAGGGATGAAGAAGCAGCTGACGGCTGCTCCTCCTCCTCCTCTCTGTGTCTGGAGGCGATGGCAGTGCTGAGCAGCGACGACTCTTCTGATTTTATCTGTTTATAATCGCCCCAGAGCGGCTGCTGCTGCTGCTTTATTAGGAAATACGTTCAGATTGAACTCGTGTTTGCTGTAACCAGAGCTCTGGGTTTTGATCAAAAGTTTAAAAAGTGGACGGGTTAATGTTTGACTTTACTGTTCATATTGTTGCAGAAAGCCAAACGCACACTAACGCACAGTTACAGCAAACAGGAAGTTCAGGGGTTTTGTCTCTGTAAAAGCAGATTTTATGATGTCATCATTATTAAGCACCAAAATGCAAAACCTGTGCGTATGGCAGGCCGATTTAACATATAATTATTTTCTTCTGACTAAATAATTAATTTCCAAATTTGACAATGAGTTTTGACTGTCCTGGCTGATGATTGGATGCATCTTCAATCTGATGAGTCAAAACTCCTTTCTAGATGTTCAGATAACATCAGTGGATTTGTAATTTGAAGTGTCACACACTGTAATTACAATGTAAGATATCAAGAACGCAAGTATGACTCATCAAAATTACATTTTTATAAAACTGGATCAAGAAATTGAGTCCAAGGCCCCCTTGTGCTGCCACTGAGCTGTCCAAACAGTTGCCTGCAGAATTTCGGGTTTCCTGCACAAAATGGTCAGAAAATGCCACAAAGTAGAAAAGGCTGAGCAGTATGGAACACTGCACTTAAAAACCGACTTGGAGGAGAAAAAGCTGCAACTGCCGACTCATTTAAAAGCTGAAAATGAAGCATTTTCAAAATTCCTTCTCTCTTTACGTTGTCATTAAAATTTCAAAGTGATAAGTAAATCTGGGACATTTGAAAATTTTAATTATTTTTGAAAAAAAAAACAGATTTTAAACTCAAAAACATAAATTGAAACTGGACAGATACTTTTGAAACTTAAAAAAAGATTTGACACTGAAAACAAAGGTATAAAACTACTATCAGATTTCAGATTTTTTTAATTTCAAATCTTTTCTTCTTAGTTTTTATATTTCGTTCTTTTGAACAAACTTTACGGTCCCAATTTAGCTCCGTACAATCAGCGCCCAGAGTCAGGATCAGAAACGCCTCCTGGCTGTTTTTCTGCTCTTTTAGAAGATCCTGTTCTTATAAAGTGAGTGACATTACGTAAAAGAAGCTGCTGGTTTTATAATCATGTTTATTTTTTTTCACAGTTAAAATATTTTTATTGCTCCCTAGACCACAGTAGGTTTTTAAAATGTCCAACTTTTTGCTTTTGATTGATGCTTTTGGATCCAAACATGATGTTATCGGAGCAGTAACGGTTCTTATCTCTAACATGTTGAAGCTTCACGCTGCTGTTACTCAGTCCTGAAGCGGCTCATTCGTTTGATTCATTTCACTTTCTGTGGCACCGGAGTGTAAATCTGCTGAGTCGTCATCTGACTCTGGTCCTTCTTTCTGCCTCACCTTTCCTCCATTTCTTTTTCTTGCCAAATTCAGGACAAGTACGAGACACATCACTCTGAGGCGTGTCGACAAATCTCCAACCTGGAGGGAGACCTGGCCGAAACCGCGGCCGTCAGAGATCAGCTCCACAAGTACATCAGGGAGCTGGAACAAGCCAACGACGACCTGGAGAGGACCAAGAGGTCAGCAGGAGCTAGATAAAGAACCGAGACGTTTCAAACTCGCTCTTCAGCTGTCTTCAGCTCTCGCTCTCTCATTTGTCTTCATCCCTTTCTCTCCATTCATCTGTCTGTTGCCCTGTGTCTCTTTCTTGAGCTTCCATCAGCTTTGTCTCTGTCTTCAGCTCTGTCTCTATTAAATGCTTGTTAAACAAAGGAGTCGTTCTTCTGTTTTCTAGAGCGACCATCATGTCTCTGGAGGATTTTGAGCAGCGGATGAACCACGTCATAGAGAGGAACGCCTTCCTGGAGAGCGAGCTGGACGAGAAGGAGAATCTCTTGGAGTCGGTCCAGAGGCTGAAGGACGAAGCGAGAGGTGAAGTTCTGAGGAAGTTTGTTTTTATTTTGGAGAGATTGCATTCTCTGTGCGTTTAGCTACTTCATCTGATTTCAGTAATGCAGATATCAAAATGTTCAGCTTGTTCTGGAAACTTTAAACATGTTAAGTTATCTTCAAATGATTCAGCTTTTTCATATCTCTTATGTTTTTTTTTCTAAAGTAACAATGTAAGTTTTATGCAGATTTTTGGCTGTTTTCAGTTTTACAGTAATCCAATGACTGAAACCTTCATCTGACACATTTTACATTCACAATTATCACCTTTCACATTTTCAAGTTTGACTTCTTTTTCTCAAACAAAATGCTGTCATTCGTATTTACTTCACTCTACAGAAATAATTTATTCATGAAAGTGTAACCAATTGATGTATACGGTTTTCTATGAAACACTGAGCACAAGCATGTTACCCTTTCCTCCATTGGGATCGATCTGTCTCTCTCTCTCTCTCTCTGTGTCCTTGACTCTTTAACTCTATTTAGCTCTCAGCGTCTTCTGATGGGTTCATTCAGCAGATTAGGATTCTCACTGCTGTTTTGCAAAGAACAGAAATGGTTTTAAATGTTTTTGACTGTGTGTGTGTGTGTGTGCACGTGTGTGTGAGACAGACCTTCGGCAGGAACTTGCCGTGCAGCAGAAACAGCAGGTACAGGACAGGAAGCCTTCCATCAGCAGCTCCGTCAAAGAGCCTTCATCCTCTTCGTCGTCGACGGGGTTTCCGACCCCGCCCCTCACCCCCCCAGACAGTAGGATGGAGGATAAAACCTCGGCTCCGCCCAGACCTGTAGCCTCCTCTGAGGTCATCAGCCCGCCGCCGCCCTCCGTCAGCAGAGGTCAGACTGAATTTAGCTTTTATTAGAGCTGGATTTATTTTCTGTCCATATTTTCACTGGTTGGTTTGTTTCTCAGCTGAAAACATCTCTGCGATTCCTCTCACCACGTCGGCGAGAATCTCTGCTCTGAACATCGTCAGTGAGCTGCTGAAGAAAGTCGGGGTAAGATCCAACATGGGGCAGACAGCGCCGCTTTATCTCCAGCTGGACTTCCTGCTGTTCTTTGGGTCGTTGTCTTGCAGCAGAACTCACCTGAGCTTAAACTTCCTGGTTACTGAGAAACCTCACCGTTTCCTTCCCAGAGCCTGGAGTCGAAGCTGGCGTCCTGTCGGAATTATGTCAACGAGCAGACGGCGAACCGCAGACGCCACAGTGGAGGATCTGGATCAGCGCCGGCTCAGACCAACCCATCAGAGACCCATCCCACCAACGGCCTCTACAACAACGGGTGAGCAGCTCTGGCTAGGTTATTTACGTCCACAGCTAACCGCTAACCACTAACTCTCCTGTCCCTGTAGTCTTGTGAAGAGGCTGGACTTTGGTGCAGGATCCAAGCTGCTGCTGTGAACCCAACCGGACCTCTCCGTCTCCTCTCAGCGGGTCAGGATGGTCCAAACCTCACCTGGACTCGGTCGGTACCTGACGGACCGCCCTGACTCCGAGCAGCTGAGGCTAAACGGATGGAGACGCTGGAGGTTTAGTTCGTCTTTTATCAGGACTTCCTCTTCAGCATTTGCACTTGTCTTGAACGTCTGTTCTGGACTTTTTGTTCCGACTCCCTGAGTCTGGATTTGAAGACATATTTTTATGAGAAGCTAAACTCCTCAGTTGATTAAAACAGTGAAAGTTTACTGCTGATGTTTGAATTTTAGAAGGAGACGTTTTTCTGTTCACCTTACTTTGGTCCATTCAAAGTAAGTGGAAGCAAGTCACATCTTTCCGGTTTGCTAGCTAACACCTGCTGGTCTGTAGCTCGAGTTTTCTCATTATTCATCCTGAGTTTATGCTTTTTGACCTAGATGTATAATTGTAGATGGGAATGCACACTTAGAGCACAGCATCAACTGGTGCCTTCAGGAAGCTCACTGGAAAAAAACGGGTTTGAAAAGAATCGTTATTCGTCAGTCACATCATTTTAGCCGAGATACACAGTGGTTGCTATAGCGATTCCCGCCTTCTTCGGTTTGCTATGTTTACTTTCTGATTAATTTTTTTATTATCTTTAACGTTGTTGCCATGGTAATTTCTAGATTCTTTTTTGTTGGTTCTCTGCCACTATTTCTTGCCCGGTTGCCATAGCAACGTACACTTTTTTTTTCTTTTTTTTTTTTTACACACACCTAAAAAAAAAAAAACGTATGCCAGATTGTGATTGGCTGTTTTCAACCGTCGTTATTTATTTTAGTGCAGAATGCTGAATGGCTATGGTTACTGTCCTTTGTGGTGAAATTCTTGGAGCTTTTGTTTGTCATCAGAATTTTGACCGTTTTTTGTTTTTTATAGTTGCTCTTGTGACTTGGTTTTCCTTTTATTTTTTTGTCCTAGTTGCCATGGTAATTATCAGATTTTTCCTGTTTTGGATCTGGTGTAACGGGGGAAATAATACACGTTTAAAGGATTCTTAAATAACATAGTGTTTCCCTCATTTTAATGGTTGCTGTGGTGATTTTAATGACCACCATTTTTTTTCCCTTTGTCCGGTTGCCATAGCAACATTTACGAGGCACTTTTTTAAGGCACATCTCAAATGGTATCCCAGACTGTGATTGGCTGATTTCAACCGTCTTTATTTTATTTTATTGTTACTGCCATGTTAAATTCCTCCTGCCTCTCTCTACTCACTACCGTGATTCCCGCCTTTTCTCTGGTCACCATGGTGATTCCCACCTTTTCTCTGGTCACCATGGTGATTCCCGCCTTTTATCTGGTCAAGCACTTTTCAGAAGCGAGAAACATACACTTTAAAAAAGGCCATAAATATTTGCTGTGTAAAAACTATAGGTAGTATAGACTTTTTTTCCTCAACTGTGAATGTGTGAATTATTTACTGTAAAGATTTGTAACGGATGTTGATGTTTAGTGTATTAGCAAGCACAAATATTTGGAGGAAATTTAGCTAATTTGGCCACAACAGGATGTAAAATTATCCTGAAGTGCCCAGTTTGTGGAAACTGGTAAGACAGACACTGGACAAAAGAAAATAAAATGCTTCTTTTCTGATGCACATTGTACTTTTGAAGGGGAAATGGGAGAATAACAACAGTTTAGATTATAGTTAAAACCTTCATGTTTGAGCTGTTTGTGTTTTTAAACGAATGAATTCACCCTTTAATTTCTGAAATATGACAGCAGAGCTTCCAGTTTCACATCGTCTCAGCGCTCCCGTCCGCAAAGCGCCGTGAACCTTCAGCTCCACGCCCTCCACTGTCCACAGAACAACACAAACGGGGCGAGCCGCCGGAGACAAACGTTTTCCCTTTTCAGGGTCGGATTTCAGTTACAGAGCTGCTGCACTGCAAAAACACACAATCCTACTTAGAAGATTTTGATTTAGTTCCCAGTGCAAATATCTTAGTGCACTTGAAATAAGACAAACTAACTTACAAGTAGCTTTTTAGCAAAATAAAGGAGCTTATTTGAAGTCTGTGATTTCTTGGTATTGATGAAAAATGACTATTTCCAATCACAGATTATTTCAGTTTTAACAGGAGAAAACTGTCTTGATGTAAGTGAAATAATCTGCCAGAGGAGCTGGAACTTTTAAAAAAAATCAGTATTAAAGAATAATTTTTTTAAAATGGATTTGATTCAGATAGTTATTTCTTGGGATTTTTAGAAGGAAACTGAAAAAGATGCAGTTTTATTAAAAATGAAACAAAACCTGATTCTACTGATGGAGCAACAAAGCGCTCATTTTTACGAGAAAGTACAAAAATAATTATAACTGATTTAAATAAGCAGGGGTCGTTTTCAAGAGGAAGATTCTTTTAGTGAGTTTTGGGTCTGTGAGTCTTTATTGGCACCCTGAAGGATCGAGTGTCAGAAACTTGAAAAATAATCTACAACGAGCCACACAAAGGTATTCCTGCAGTCTGTTTCATATCTGCATGAGTTTTGATAAGATCAGATCAGCACAAAGTAGGACATATTGTATATTACACTAAAAACCACAAAATCTCACCAAGCAGCTTTTGTCTAGTTTCTCATACAAATATCTTAGTAAACTTGGAGTTTCTACAAGATGTTTTGGCTTGTTTTAAGTCAATAATTCATTAATATTGATGCGAAAAGTGCTAGTTTTTCCATAAATGATATGTAGTACTACATATTATTTCACTTACAAAAAAACACTTTTCCCACACAATAAGTGAAATAATCTGCCAATGAAACCAGAACTCCATCAATAATAATGAATTGACTTAAAATGAGCTCCTATTATTATAAGTTAGTTTTGTTTTATTTCCAGTGCTATATTTTCCTAGAAACAAGGCCAAAATACTTGCCAAGATTTTGCATTCTTGTAGTGTAATTTATGGTTTGCACATTCTTGCGCCTTTATATTCACACTCTTAGTCAACATTTAGTTTTGCTTTAAATTTTCCAGACTGTTTCCATGAAGCTGGGGAAATCCTCATAGAACAAATATTATTTTTGATGATGGCCACTTCTGGATGTACTGGATTTTATCTAAATGTATAAATGCACACCACACTTTTCAGACTTTGTGTTGTTCTGTTGCATAAAGTCCCAACAAAACCCACTGAGGTTATGTAGGTTTAGTCACATAGGTAATGTGACAAAATGTTTTGAAGTGCAGCATAGAGATGAAATAAACAGGTTCTTGATCTTATTTGTGTTTAATTCAGAGGATGAACCAAAGTTTAATGTCGCAGGTTTTCCCGTTGAGTCTGAACCAGAACCTTTGATCCGTCCAGAAATTGGTTAAAACTTTAGATGAGTTCAACGGGAGAGAAGAAGAAATCTGCAGCTCCAGGATCTTGGTTTCACTGAAGAAAACTTTATTCTACTGTATGTTTATTAACACAGGATGAATGTGATGTTTTGTTTTTTACTTTCACTGCTGCTCATGTTTCTGAGAAAAGCAATAAAACTCATGCCTGACAGATACGTCTCATCTTTTTTATTTTAGTCTTGATTCACTTTAAAATGAACTGAAGTAGCAGATTGAGCAGAAAGTTGCCATTTTACATTAATTTGATGTGGTTTAGAATAAAACTTAAAACATTTTTCTCCCCCATAACTTTTTATAAAAATCAGCATCTCATGAACTCCTTCATTATTGTATGACCCAAAAAACTTACCAGGAACTGTTTATTTTAATGACAAACTACTTAGATACTTATAAAATTATTTTTTCCAAAAATTTATGAAGTATTAAATTCTGGTTAAGTTCTACCAGTGCGCCCTCTGCTGGCAGAACAATTACATCCCCACTACTGCAAAACAAAAACACACTGCTCCATTATAACACTTTAAAATGTGTTTATTTCCAATAAATTTAGATAATTCATAAATAATCAGAAAATATCTCAATTTGCTTTCTTTTTCAACCTATAAATATGACATATTTCAAATGATCTTATTCTCATTTTGCGTCACAAAATTTTAACTCCAGTTAGAATCATTTCTATTTTCTAGACTCCATCGCTGACATGAATCCACATTATCTTGACATGAAAAGTGTATAAATATATTTTAATAATAAATGAGGCGTGGGGTCGTTTCACTTGTCAGGGCAGCAGGGGTGCGCCTCATCGCGTTCATCCGGGGAGCATGTGGGAGGAGACGGGGAGGGAGGTTCCTCTTCCTGCAGCTCCAAAGAGTTTTCTTTGACCCGCCGGGTCACACCACCGCTCAGACCTGCGGCGCTCCTGATCCCACCGCTGCCGCCGCTGCTGATCCGAGAAGCACTGAACGCCGGATCCCCTCCACCACGCCTGAGGGACGCCCCGCACATCAGCAGGAAGAGAGAAGAAGAAGATGAAGCACAGGAAAAGAAAGGTTAAAGTGCCCCGTAGAAACTGAAGCAGAGGGAAGGGGAGGAAGTTAACGCTCTTTTTGTTTCCAGGTTTAAGGAGAGATCAGTAATGTCTGAAGGAAGCAGAGAAACAGGAGCAGCGAGACGTGAGAGGCAGAAAATAAAATTTAATTCACAAATTATCTGAAATGATCAAAACTCAAACCCAAAACAAAAACATTAATCTGTACAAATATTCATCTGAAAATGTACTGAAAACACTTAGTTTGACCCGACTAAATTTGTGTTTAGTTTCTTTTCTCTTGAGTTTGCTTAATTTTTAGGAAATGTGTTAAAACTTTGAATTCAAAGAAACGTAAAACAAAATTCTGATTATTCTGGTATTTGAACAGAAATAACTGGTAATCCTGACTGACATGAAGAGTTATGAGCAGGGGCGGCTTGGGGTCGCCTCTGGTTATCAGTCAATTGTCAGACTGTGTTAGTTGGCTGTGACCTTGTGGGTGACCTCGTACCTCAGTTTGCTCCTGAGTGCCGCCACCTCCCTGCTGAGGGCGTCGTTGGCCTCGCCTGCCTCGTCCAGCTCGCGCTGCAGCTTCCTGCGGGCGGCCGCCACGCGCTGCGCCTCCTCCTCCGCCTCCTCCAGCTGGAGCTTCAGCTGCTTCACCCGGACGCCGCTCTTCTCCATCTGTAAGCGGGACGGACCGGGGTCAAACCGAGGTTAAACCAGGATCAGACTGGGGTCGGACTGGGACAGGCGGGGCTCTGAAGGTCGCCATGGTTACCTGGTCCTTATATTGCTGCGCCTGCTTCCTCTCGTCCTCGATCTGGACGCTCAGGTCCTTCAGCTTCTTCTCCTTCTGCCGCAGGTTCTTGGCGGCGGCCTGACGCTCCCTGGAAGTTTTCACAGCGCTGCGAAGTTAGCGTCAGGTTGGATATTCGCATCACCTTGCTCATATTTTATAGTCTAACTAAAACTCTCTGCTGCCCCCGTATGGGGCTCAAACAGGGCCAAGAAGTTTTTAAAAAAAAAAAAAAAAAAAAAAGGTAAAAGTAAAAGAGAAACTGAAAAAAGATTCAATATTACTTTTTAAATTCATTTGTTTTTTTCAGTTTTGAGTTGTGTTTTTTTTTACAGACTAAAATAGTTACATAATTTTCTTTTCTAAGTTTCAGTTTCTTTTTTCTGTTTTATTTAGCACTAAAGAATTGGTGGTATAAAGTTTGATTGTCGTTTATTCATCTGAAATAAAAAAAACAGAAAAAATATTTGAAAACTATATTTTAAGACGAAAAAACACTTTTAATCTAAAAAATAATTTTAACTGAAAAATAATTAAAACTGAGAGAAAAAAATTAACAAAAAATGTAAATTGAAAAATAATTTTAAAATTGAAAAACGATTGAAGGAGAAAAATATCAAATGTAAAAATTTTAAAACTGAAAAAAAAAATTAACTGAAAAACATTTTTTTTTATTTTAAACCAGAAAAAAATAATTAGAAACCAAAAAATAAAAATAAATGAGAATAATAGTTTTAAAAATGAAAACAAAAATCTAAATTTGTATTTGTTTTTGGACAGTGTTTGGTTCAGATATTTATTGAGTGAGAGCAGATCAACCACAAATATCCAGCCTGAAGCTAACTTTGCCTACATTGTGTTCCTTCATGTATGTGACCTTCTGACCCCGGCGCTACCTGCTCTCGGCCTCCAGCTGCTCCTCGGCCTCCCTCAGCTTGGCCTCCAGGGCGGCGCTAGTGGCCTTCAGCCTGGAGCGGCTCTGGCTCTCTGCCTCCTGCAGTTTGGCCTTCAGCTCCCGGTTCTGCCTCTCCAGCTGCTGCCGGCTTCCCTCTCTGCTCTGAGACGACGCCCTCTCTGCCGCCAGCTCCGCCCCCAGCTGATCCACCTGGAAAACCGAACCGGCGGGTCAGGCGGCGCCTGCGTCACCTGACAGTGGAGTTAGTGGCGGCGGTGCTACCAGCTGCTGGCTCTTCTTCAGACGCTCGGTCAGGTTCTCCAGGCTGGCCTGTTCCTCCTCCAGCTCCTCCTCCAGCTGACACAGCTTCGTCTCCAGGCGGCGCTTTTCGTCCGACTGCATCGACCTGAGAGGGACAGGAAGTGACACGTACAGGTGAGAACAACCAGGGGTGGTCCTGGCCTGGTTGGGGCCCTGGGCGAACAGGCTCCACCATGACATCATTTAGTTTATCATGAACCAT